ACGCGGTTTAGGATGATTAAAGCTAACATGCCTCAGTGCAGGCGGCTGTACATTAGTTTGTACAAGATTTGTACTGGCCATATTACTTGGTACAGATTTAGGTGTAACGAATAATGGAGCTCGAGACGGCACGCTAGTCCCTACTGAAGAGGTTTTTCTGATTTGAGGGGTGACTTCACAGTTGTTTTGATCAACAAATCCATCACTCGGTACCTCGTTGGCTTGTCGGCTTATGTAATACAAGCCTTCGCGACTTTGGTATGAGGAAGACTCCTCATCACCATCATATCTCGGACGGGACCTCTTAAAATCAGTTTCAGACGCTCTGGTCGATTCGGCTCTCTGTTCTTCATTTCCATAATTTATAGGACGTGGTAAACCCAAAGGGCTAATCAAAGACAGATCTGATCTGGAGTTTTGTTCCCTACTTTGTGAAATATCTACTCCTAAGTTTTCAATTTGAACTTGTAATTGACCTATCATTTGTTGACATTGGTCTCTAAATTCACTTATATTTGCCATTATATTCTTATATTTATAAATCCTATTTATAAAGTCTTAATAAGTTCTTTATTTAAACAAAATAATTAATTAATCACCAGTTTAAAGAGGGGCCAAAATTTTTACAGCAGGATCCCACCGCTGCCACCAAAATGTAACCGGAGCTAGTTATCCTGTCTTGTTTTTCATGTAATTTCTGAATTGTTTATTTGTAAATGTTGATGTCTTGTTTTAGTACGGTATGATTTTTCAAGGAGATCAACCTAAATAATATATTGGAAGATTCAAAAAAACAAAAAGGAACAACCAGAATTATTGACAATGACTAAAACAACCAAAATAATATGAACGGTGTCATGTTAATGACTAAACCTTTAAAACAGGGTATATCTAAGCTCTAGGTTCTGTTGTAGTTCGATCCTGAGTCTTTGACTCCTCTTGGTAGCTTATTTAAATAAAGACAATCAAGTTCACATAGTTTAATGATGTTATAACGACAAATCTACATGTCAGAATTTAATATAAATATACATCAAATCAACACTTCACCTATAAAGCACAGTGTAATGAAAATTGGGCAAAGTTATCTCCCCTTTTCTAAAATAATATTGAAAAACCTTAATTTCCTACTTACTTAACACTAGTTACCTAAACTTGTTTTATAAAATAAACAGGCTACTTAATTAAATTTGGGAAGGGAAAAACCAGACGTGGAAGCTTAACAGTTTGAAAAGTTTTGCCAAAGTTTTGTCTTACAACAAGCCAAAATTGTAAGTCGTAACTAATGCATCAGCCAAGTTGCTAATAGTCAAAGACTAACGCTGGCTAGTAGAAAACAGTCCTAATTTAATAGGCACCTACCTTAAGAGTCTGTTACAGACAAGTGGCTCTTGCATAAAAAGCAATGATATTAAGAATATGTGGGCCTTATATACTAATTAAGTTCTAATTATAGAAACTATATCTAAATTTATAAACCCAATAAGAAATATCAACACATAAGTTAAACCAATGAAATTTACTATTAAAAACTTGTTATGCCTCGATTTAGAAAAACACACAGAGAAAGATCTCCGAACGCACCCAATTGAAAAATCTAGAGAGATAATAATTTTCGGAACTCCTCTAATAAAAAGCATGGCTAAATTCAAGGAAAATATAACAGTTTTGGATTTAAAAGTTACTTAATGACAAATTTATAAGGTAACATCAATATTTAAAGTTCAAAGAACGTTTCCCAAGTGTAAATACTATATTTTTAAATTAACCAGGTTGAAAGTCCCATGACATTGCACAATTTACGTTTTAAAACAAGGCTCCACGGCCACACCTTGTTGTGATGATTTTCGGTTTCACGAGTGTGTATTTTCCCGTAAAATGCTTATTTTCTTACGTCATCGTTCTATGACGTCGGGTAGCTCATTCATAAAAAAGCATATGACGCGGGAGTACGATCGGAACAGCCCAAACAATATATTCATATTTTACCACGGGTGTGTACTCAAATCGTTTGAAGAACGTCATGTTAGAATGTCACGTAAACCAACTATGCCTGTTTAGGTTTCTCACACACAATTATTGTCACGTAAACCAACTATGTCTGTTTGGGTTGTTCACACACAATTATTGTCACGTAAACCAACTATGTCTGTATGGGTTACTCACACACAATTATTGTCACGTAAACCAGCTATGCCTGTTTAGGCTGCTCACACACAATTATTGTCACGTAAACCAACTATGTCTGTATGGGTTGTTCACACACAATTATTGTCACGTAAACCAACTATGTCTGTATGGGTTGCTCACACACAATTATTGTCACGTAATCCAACTTTGTCTGTTTAGGTTGTTCACACACAATTATTGTCACATAAACCAACTATGTCTGTATGGGTTGCTCACACAATTATTGTCACGTAAACCAACTATGTCTGTTTGGGTTGCTTACACACAATTATTGTCACGTAAACCAACTATGCCTGTTTAGGCTGCTCACACACAATTATTGTCACGTAAACCAACTATGTCTGTATGGGTTGTTCACACACAATTATTGTCACGTAAACCAACTATGTCTGTATGGGTTGCTCACACACAATTATTGTCACGTAAACCAACTATGTCTGCATGGGTTGCTCTTACTCAATTATTGTCACGTAAACCAACTATGTCTGTTTGGGTTGCTCACATACAATTATTGTCACGTAAACCAACTATGCCTGTTAAGGTTGCTCACACACAATTATTGTCACGTAAACCAACTATGTCTGTATGGGTTGTTCACACACAATTATTGTCACGTAAACCAACTATGTCTGTTTGGGTTGCTCACACAAATTTGTCACTAAGGCGGACTTTTATACAACTGTTTTACAAGTGGGAAATTTAGATAGCTATAAAACCATGTTAACCCCTCATGTTCTTCGGAAACGCCTGTATCAGATCAGGAATATATCTGTTTTCCATTAGTTGTGTTGTCGGATATATTCGGGCAATTAGTTTTGTCATGTCTTATAGACTTTCCATTTTATAATTTATCTTGGAGATCGATATGTTTGTCGATACTTTTTGGCAAAGAAATATGAACCTTCCCGGAGTGGCTGCTTATGACAGACACTTGTATATGTAGAAGATTGTATTTTGACCACTAGATATTCTTTGCCTTTTTGTTTTTGAGTTGCTTAAGTCTTTACATGACCTTAGGGTATAGTATTATGATTATCCTTGAAATCTTCAATCTACCAGTAAAACTAAAGCTGAGAGGTGTCCGTTTGACTATTTGATTGAATATAAGTATGCATCAACGTTCGTTTGGAAAAGGAACATTCAAATCTATACCTTGTGTAGGGAGAGTGAGTAAAACGTTTTCTGTACGTTATAAACATTCCTTGCTACAACTCTTTGACGAGACCGTAGATGGCCTAGATGTAATAACTCAGCCCTGTGTCCGCTACTCTTCCAACAGAGTCATTGCTCACAAAGGAGCAGCCCAAGGGGTTATTCAATCCTGGCACATTTCATGCGATTAATCGTTCAGGAATGGACACATTTAAGTTAACTAATTTGATGATATCAACCTATTTATGTTGGTCTTTCGTGAACGGATACACCAGAATTTAAAATTCAAAATTCACCTTTGAGAGACAAGTGTTTAAACTTAAAATCAAGTATGAATAAGTTTCTTTCGACGTCAATGTGGAAGATATTTTCATGATAATGACAGGCATTACTTTCTTTAATTTACGAAATTGTTTTTGTCCATTTTATAGTGGTACGGCATCGTAACCCTGTCGGTTGAGGTACGAACGAACACGTGATATCTAATTGTGTATAGCCTATGGTTAGGCAAATTACTGCACCGAAATTCCCGACTTTCATCCCTGTCGATCAACCTTTCAGAATCTACTTATTACATTGATTGATACAAATGTAATTTGTTCTCGTCCCGATTTTGTATGTAATATTTGCCACTGAACACTTAGTACGTATAAGCCAAATTCCTTATTTTTAACAGACCGAACCTCTATCATGACACATATAACAAAATTGACAAAATGACATTTTTTTTTTTGTAAAGACTTGAAATTGACAAGCTAAGATAGGGAAGATAATTTGCAGAGGATAAATATGATTTTTTATCAATTAAACCCTTTTATAGTATTTTGATAAATGCATGTACAGCAATATTTTATTTTGATATCGATATTAAGGCTGTATTTTCATCGCAAATAAGTTTGTTTTAAAGCTGTGAAAGAATTTGATGTAATATCGGAAAAAAATGTTTAACAAATGTTTTCATTCACTAATTAGAAACATGATTATCGTTTCAATAAAGACAGTAATTGTTTGTCCATCATCTTTTGTTTCTACAAGTGTTTCACCCTTTATACAGTTTTCTGTAAGTTTACAATATAATACGGTATATAATTGCAACCGCAGACAATTTGTTTTTTTATTTTAGGTTTTCACGGTCATTCATCATTTTTGTAATTGATTTGGTTTTCGAATGGTTTTGATTGGAGGTGCATTGATGGATCTCATGTAAATGAAACACGTACTAGTACTTATAATTCTGGTATTGATGGCTTTAATATGCTACACGCAAAGAGACTTTCAGCCCAAAACTTAAGTTAATGTTGACTCTGAAGAGAAATAGTAGAAACAAATTACAAGTTTCCACAAGATATTTGTGCAACCAGTTTATATACGAGACATTGTGACCGATAATATTCTGAATCTGGAGCTGGTTAATAGTTAGTACTGATTCGGAAGCGAAAGACTGACTGCTCCAGCTTATATCATTGACAAACTATATGACTTACAATGTATGACTTGAAGTTCATAAGAGTTCTCAGTAAGTATTATCATAAACATTTTTTTCAGGAAAGAATTTGATGATTGTACCCTGAGATGGAAAATGTTTGTTATCGTGCTTTGCGACGTGTGTTCTTACCATGCATTCCATATTTATAGAGATAAAGCTTCTTTCTTTTCAGGGCGAACTCATTACGAGTAGCTGCTGGTTCAACAATATGGAGTGAAGATGTTCAGACAAGAACGTTGAAAGATTTTACAATTGTAAGATACTATTTTCTTAATGTCTAAAAATTGGCAAAATGACATTATTTCCTTGAAAACTTGAAGACTTGAAATTGACAAGCTATGTAGCTAAAACAACTGTAGCAAAGTTATTTTTTTTAAATATAAAGTTGATGTATTTGATAAAATATTTTATATACTACAATGCATTTTGCAATAAAACACGCTTGAATTTCAATACAGTTTGTCGATTGAGAAGCAAAATTGTGACAAGACCTAATGTTGACCTATTCCCATCCATTTCATGTGTGTCTATGCTTATTCTGTCTATAAAAGGGCTTAAAGTGGAAGTCCTTAAATAGACCTATCGGATAATTATTGCATTGTCTCGTCAAAAACTTTTTTTTCTGTTGTATATACTGCTGTAATATGTAGCTGATTAACACGTTCTGACTAGAAGAAGGAGTAAGTTTTTAAAAGTGTTATATCATAACTTAAATGGATCAATGATTGATAGCAACTGCTAGTGAAATAAATTAAGTGTCTAAAACAATTGGCTGCTGAAGTAACCTTTACATTGCACATTGAAACATATATTTTCCATTTGAAATATTGGGTACAGTGAACATAATGTTCGTATTCTTAATTTTATTTGAATATCAACATAACATTTTATAAAAGCATCCTGATTATGATGGCTCGGCAAGTGGTTATCCGAATGATATTGCTGTAATGGAGCTGGAATCGCCATTAGAATTCAATGAAAATGTTGACAAAGTTGATATGGCGGAAGAAGAGGGTGATTTTGCTGGTGTGGAATGCGTTATATCAGGATGGGGACAAACAGGTGCGCCTCTCTCTTTCTCTCCAACCAAATTCAATATATAAATAGGCTAGTTGGAGTGCACAATTACAGATTTAACCAACCAAATTCAACATACAAATAGGCTAGTTGGGGTGCACAATTACAGAATTAACCAACCAAATTCAACATACAAATAGGCTAGTTGGGGTGCACAATTACAGAATTAACCAACCAAATTTAACAACTTTGTTTTGACTTGAAGAGAATATCGTTTCATAGTAACCAATTCGGTTTATGTATTATTGGACCCTGTACTTATAAACAAGACAGGATAAATTTTATCCTACAACATTAAATGATCACCTGTTAAGATGAAGCAAAGAAATTAAATCATGTCTGCGGAAAATTACCGACCGTCAAAGGAAGACAGCTAACTGGCGTCTTCTGAACAATTTCTAACACTATAGAATAACTATTTGTACATACATCTATTAGTCCGAAATGTTAACATTAACTGTTGTGGGAGTAATCGTCATGGGAGAATATGGTTGCAAATTACGGTGGGAACCAGTAGCAGCGTCTGTAAAGTTTAGCAGACATATTTTTATGAAGAAAATTGACATTACAAATGACTAACATTTTTTATACCAATATCATGGTTGACTGTCCACTGGACTTTACACAATCCATTGGCTCATATCTGCAAATTCTACATTTGATAATAGTAGTAAATGATAAGCATAATTGTATACTTAATATTGAAAATATAAACATTTTGATTCCTTTATAGGGAGCGGTAGTATACCAGACAATCTTCAAGACGTTAGCATGACTGTTTTGTCTAATTCCGATTGCTCAGCCATCTGGACTGGTTCCATAAATGATGGTCATATATGCATAGGAAGTGACACTGATATATCAGATGGCAGATCTGCCTGCTTTGTAAGTATTCGTCATTGTTAAGGATTTGGTTAAACCATTGTCTAACCTGTGATGATTTTGTTTACTTGGTACACACTTTGTACACTTCATTTTATTACACATAACGTTTTTGCATAACTGTTTGTGTCTGACTGTTTCTGATGAAGGTGAATTCAGAAAAACGTTTCAGACGCACGAAATTTACAAGATGTAATTTTTACTGAACAGACTTTATTAAAATAAGGCAATGTGGCATGATGGCCAATGCAACAACTATGCACTAAAGTTCAAATGAAGTGCAAGTAAGCAATTATGGGCAACCATACGGCCTTTAACAATGAAAAAAAACCAATACCGTAAAGTCGGCTATAAAAGGCCCCGACATGAAAAATATGAAACAATTCAATTGAGAAAACTAACGGCCTAATTCATTACAAAACAAATAACAGTTTGTACAGACAGGTTTGAGTATGGATTATCGGCATTTGAAAAAACGTAAAATATACATTTGTAACCAGTTTTGATCTTGATGACGTTATAGTAACAAAACAATACGTAATATATGATCAAGGGAATGAGAAAACATACTAGGTTAAGTCATCGAGAAAGTAAAAAATTAAAAATAAAAACAAATGTTACGATGTTCAAAAAAAAAAAAAAAAAAAAAAATAGACGACACCACTGAATTTGATTTTATTAGTTGTTCCTATTTATTGAAATTGCAAATTATATATGACGGGAAACTTGGTTGAACTGTTAAGAATATTTTAGCACAATTGGATGCGACACCTAGGGAGTTGCTCTTTTAGGAAGTGTTTTACGGTTGTTTTTTTTTATATAAAATTTATAGGCACGGTAAAATTCATCTTTATGTGTTTCAAAATGAACTGATACAAATAAAATTTCGGTATCTTATAAATTTTTCCTACATGCAGATATATGTGCCAATTTGACCCAATTGTCGATAGGGTCGGGTGCTAACTCAACATGACAAAACATTTCAATCTTCAGTAATGCACTTTCCAATTCTAATTTTGCCTGCATAAGGAGCATATATCTTCCAATGGAAACACGATATCGGGGCTTGTGTTTCAAATGTTGTTTTTCTTAATACATGGTTGATGCTTCCAATGTTTCCTAATGAAAAGGTTTGAAGTCATCTTATTTTGGGCCAATAATGACATCGTACCATTAATTATGTTAACCGTTATGGAATTCATGTGTCACCATTTACCACGGATGTCTTCGAATTTTACAGACAATCTATATATTGTTTCCATTAATTAAAACTGACCGCAACGAAATAGCACAATAGTGCTGAAAGTGGCGTTAAACACCAATCAATCAATCAATCAATCAATCACAATATTTTTTTTTCTCAATGGCGAGTAGCGCGGCATATGTCGCTATCGGAACAGGAACTTTGTTCCCGTACCCAGCAACTGAATAAGCCTTTGGTATTATGGTGGGGATTTTGTTTCATAATCTTTAGTTTTTACGTAATGTTTTGGGGACTGTTTCATTTGTCGTTTTGTCAATTTGCATTTGGCCACGGTCGACTAATGGTTTTTGAGCGCTCTGTGTACCGTCTTCATTATTTTTGAATGCAGAGTTTCAATGCAGTATTTTGTGGACTATCCATCGTCTTTTAAGCCATGGTGTTGTCTGGCATTTCTCATATTTTGACTTTTGGCCAACCCCTTCGATTTCTTCATATATTGTTACTCCAGTTTAATGAAAACAAGAAAAATAAGGATTAGAGATAGAATTGCTTGTCAGTCTGAAACCATATTGGAGGAATACATGACCTCACGTTATTTATTCCTAATTTCAGGGAGACAGCGGAGGTCCAATGATTTGCCAGTCTAAACTTGCTGGAGCGACGTCATGGGGAAGCGGATCATGTTCCGGTAAACCTACTGTATATACGAGAGTTTCCCAATTCCGAAAATGGATACGGGACCAGACAGGAATTTAATATGTTTTTTTATTAAAATATTCTGTAGATATTGTATATTGTTATTGATGAAAGCAGTAGCAACTCTTTAAACTGATTGGTTGAGATAAAGTTTACTCTCAGGCTATCAATTACTTGCAACTTAGGGAAAACAATAACTGTTTTCTAATGATGTTGTCGTGTATATAAAACATAAAACGGTTAATTTAACCCAAAAAAGTATCCAATGTGAGCTTGATTTCACTTCTTTTAGTTGCTCTTATTTGACCGAATATCAACTAGAAAGACCTACCGCAGTGTAGGTAATCTGTCGAAAAATTATAAACTTGTTTTACAATCATTTACAGAAGTTCAACCTTTAAAAAATCCATTGTTTTTTTTTCTTTATGAACATGATGAATTCACCGGGCTGAAGTACGTTCACTATTCACTATTCACTTTTCACTATTCAAAATTCATGAATAGTGAACTGTGTTTTTTTGCACTATTCACTATTCAAGTTTATTAAATTGTCATGAATAACTGTAGTATCTACTTGTATATATAAAAATTAGAAAAAATTGGTATGATTGCCAATGACACAGACATTACAAGCTTTAGGTCACCGTACGGCCTTCAGCAATGTGCAAATCCAATACTGCATAAATCATAAATGTAAAAGGAATTCAAAAGAGAAAACTAACGGGATAATTGTTATTCCTCTAAACGAGTGCAAAAATATCCATGATTTTTTACTTATATTTTTTGTCATCGTTAATACATCTTTTTTTTTATTTAATGACAATTTGATTTAAATCGTCATTAAATAAAAAAAAAAGATGTATTAACGATGACAAAAAATTAAGTGAAAATTCAAACTGTTCATTTTTATTTATTTTTTTAATATAAAAAAAACTGCCTTCTTGTTTGTTAAGAGACTTACTAGTTGGTTTAATGAATTGGTTAAACAGGTATCATGCACCGATTAGAAAATGTTTATTTTAATCTTGAAGTCTGTATTAAGGTATATGAATTCATCATTTATAGATTTGAGTCCTACATATATAATAAAATAAAAATCAGGGCAAACGAACTCAGGGCGAACAGGTATTAGGGCGAACGGACTCAGGGCGAACAGGTATTAGGGCGAACAGGTACTAGGGCGAACCGGAATCAGGGCGAACGGACCCGGATTCATCAAATGTAATGTTACGTAAAAAACAAATAATTCAGTCTAAATATTAAAAAGGGATAGGCCTAACAAATATCTTTTCTCTTTATACCTTAATACTATATAATTCTATAGAGATTTCTACTTACGTTACTTTCGTTTTTGACTGCAAACCTATCTAAATTATCGTTTGCAAAATAATATTTATTTATTAAATGATTTGTCATAAAAATATTTTAGTTTATGATATAGATTGAAAATATGAAAGTATTGTGTCGTTAGAAATATATATATATAATATAAGTAAAAAATCATGGATATTTTTGCACTCGTTTAGAAGAATAACAATTATCCCGTTAGTTTTCTCTTTTGAATTCCTTTTACATTTATGATTTATGCAGTATTGGATTTGCACATTGCTGAAGGCCGTACGGTGACCTAAAGCTTGTAATGTCTGTGTCATTGGCAATCATACCAATTTTTTCTAATTTTTATATATACAAGTAGATACTACAGTTATTCATGACAATTTAATAAACTTGAATAGTGAATAGTGCAAAAAAACACAGTTCACTATTCATGAATTTTGAATAGTGAAAAGTGAATAGTGAATAGTGAACGTACTTCAGCCCGGTGATGAATTCATGGTTTAATAATATAAACGGTAGCAATTTTACTGCACCAGATGTTTGTGTCTCTTTAGTGATGCTCGAGGCCAAACTATTTGAAAATCCAAAACCTTATACGAACGTTGAAGCTGATCAATCAAAAGGACCTAAAGTATAGCAAAAATTGGACAAGTAACAATAAAGTAACATTTATAGTACTTTTTAAATAGAACGTGCGCTTTTATCAATGATGAAGTTTGGATTGTCGCTCTTTAGCTGCCTTGCACTAGGTTATATACAAGCATCATTGTATCAACTCCACAATCGGCTTCCCTTTAAACTTGAAAACTGTAGATATGATAATAAGAAGAATCACCTACTAAAACCATTGCTTATCAGTTTCTATTGTATCTTCTACTTGCTTGGTTTTTTTTTTAAATGTCACGAAAGATTTTTACGCATTTGGTTAAGGACTAAATGTGACGTTACAAAATAATTTTAAACAGTATATGTACATGTATATAATATTGTCAACATAATTTTTGTAAAGTTATTCAAGTATTTTTTTTATCTTACCTCCTATACACTTCTAGGAATATGATTGGTTAAAAGCAACCGCGTGGAGACCGTGTATATTTCATATGGGGTTAGTAGGCGTGGTTTATTTCAATACACGGTAAGTAGTGGTGTTACGTCCCTTTGTAAAAACAACACGGCGCTTAGGAAAAATCTGAAAGGTTTCAACAGACGAAGAAATTGATGATAAATGATTGAAATACATTCATAAAACACATTTAAAGCTAACAAGTTGTTAAAGTTGGTATTTCTTTTTGTATAGACCAAGTCTTAATACTAAGTATTGAAGACATGATCACTGTGATAGGCTACTAGTCTAAATACCACATGTCAAGATAGTCGGTAAGATAAATTTGTTACACAATGTGCTAGTGACCTTATACGACATATATGAGATATATACCCCCCACTCGCTCTCACCCCATATGGGATTTACTGACCTCATATATGTTGTATTAGGTCAGTAGCACACTTCTCTCGAATCGCCATATGGAATTTACTGACCCATATATATCGTATTATGTCACTAGCACACTATGTAACTAATAGTGTTGGATTTCATTGACAATGATTGAATTTTTTTTTACCATAATACGGGTAGACATATTATATCAAATAAAGAAAAATCTCCGAGACTGTCACCATTTAGATATCTATTGATTTACTTGTTAGTAAAACATATTTCTTATATTTGGTGGACGCACTTTTCGCAATCAAACACCTCCCATTGGAACCATGTGTGATCCTCCTCTAGTCGGCGTATTAGTTTCATTCATTATACAAAAATATGTAAAAAAAACTACTTATTACCATTTATATCTTATATATGTAAATAGTTTTATCCATTGATACGTGAGAAATTTTGTATTAAGAAAACGATGTTTACTTTGTCAAACTGTAAGAAAGGACAAGAGGCGGAATATATCAAAAGGACAATCAAAAATCTTAATTTGAAGAAAAACCGACAACACCATGGCAAAAAACCCCGAAAATAGACGGAAAGAAAAACAGATGTCTATGAAACACTACATTGGACCCGCAAGACTGAGCAACTGAAACACCACTAGTGCTCAGCAAGGATAAGCAACTCGTCGTGCTGCAAATAGTCAATAATAGACCATAATTGAGAAAAGAATGACCGTGTTTCGACAATTGAGACATACATGTAGCCGCGGTCTTCTGTTACAAAGATATTTTATAACAGTCAACAAAATGATGATGTCATCCGTAAAAGTTTCGAAAGGATAACTTCAACTTTATACGAATAGCTGATGCATAAATTATATACTTTTTAATTAATAAGTATTGCCGATCGCTCTGTTCTTGAAATTACTGAACATACAAATCTCAAATTTGGTTGCTGCTCCTGACTTTTTCATATTGTTATGCAAACTCAGACAATTTTTGCGACTATTGTTTGGCAGCTCTTTAAAAAATTACTTTGTAGGTATTGATAGAAAATATTCAACATTCAACCAACTTATAGGGAGGTACACTTTAAAATCACAGTTATCGATAATACATGTAGTAACTTACTGAAATACAAATATCACTTGACCTAGAGGAACTTTTACATATAATTTAAATAGAAGTCCTAACCAGTCAATACATTCGTTCTATTCCCTTCCATGTACCTTGCTAATATTTTTCTAACACCAGACATATCAAACAACTTAATTTACTTGGTAAATAAATATATTTAAAAAATCTTACAGTTCGTGTATTACATACATAAAGATGCACTACATGATTAACAACTAATTTAATTATTAGAAAGACAGACTTTTTCATACTTTTAATTCAAAGATTTAAATAATTCAAAATGTTTAAAAAGAAATTGCAAGATGAATGAAATACTCCTATTATCCATCAAATTCCACCTACAAATGGCAAATTGATGAATTATTATACATGTGACTAGTTGTAAGTAGGGCATAAGACAATATAAAAACGAAACCTCTCGTTCAGTCGTACTGAATATGTTAATTAGTGTAAAACATTAACATGCAATCAGAAATTAAAGAAATGCTTTCTTCTTCCTTACTCATTTTACTTCTTAAAACAATAACATGCACTTTAATTTTCCGTGTACAATCTGAAACATGACTGACCCTACAATAAAGTGTCAATTACGATCGTATTCTATCGAACTTTAAAATATTGACAAGACTTAGAGACCAATTTAAAATAACTATTTTTTTAGTCATTTTCATATTGTTTTACGAACTCTGACAAATTTTGCCTATATTGTTTGTCAACTCTTTGAAAAATTACCCCTTAGGTATTCAACTTCGAAGCAATAAAAAAAGGGGGGGGTACAGTAACAACAACCATTCAACCTGTCAAGACTGTTTATGCACTACGCAATGGTAACAATTTTTTTATAATACTTCCGTTCTGCAGACTTGCATTAACTAATGAATCATTTATACCATCAACTATACGTCTATGGAATAATCGTGATACTTCAACCCGTGAGGCAGATACAATAGGAAAATTTAAAACGGAACTAAAAAACTTTAATCCCAATAGTAATAAATACATGCCGAAACAATATGAGTTTGGAAGTCGTAAACTCAACATTGTGCCTACTCAACTTCGATGTTCTGTTTCCTTCCTAAATTATGATCTGTCTAGAATTGATATTATTTCTGATCCATCTTGCCGCTGCGTTGTCTATCACGAAG